ACGCCGTAATATTTGCATAAGTTTACAAATCGTAAATCTTACGCAATACTTCGCATTAAAAATATTCCTGATGTACTACCTCTATAGGAGTATTGAATATTAGTCATTGAAAATGTCTTTTGTGCTTCATTTTCATTCCATCCTGATACATTATATACGTTTGCAAAACCAGTTTCTGACATGTTAGGATATTCTTGAAATTCTATGTAATAACGAACTTCAGATGCTGTTAGCTTCTGGCCAAATTTAGCGATTTGAATAGGCCACTAATAATTAATTTTAACAAATATATTTATTAATTATCGTTATAATTTAAAATTAAATATATAAAAGTCAAATTTCAGTATTTTTTTGCCTATTTTAGCACCTATCTATGTATATATTAAAGGTATTAGTTACCTTTCTCGTGATACTTTTTAACCTTATTTTTAACTTTATGCAGACCTTGTTATACAATATAACTAATATCTATAACTAATAATCTAAACAATTTATTTTACATTTTTTCAGCTTTTAACGTACCTCTTCAGCAAGTTCCTCATTGATTTCTATAGGATTTTCTACCATTTTATCAGAGATTTGTGAGAGATTTACAGTTTGTATGTTTATAATCGCGTTTTGTTTTTTAAAAAAAAGAATAAAATTTTTTTTTAAAAAAATTTGTTTTATTTCAATTGGTGATCATTCGATCATTTGGTGTACTATATTAATTTTTGTGTAATATACGATTTTTATTATTGTACGATCATAGGAGAACTTTCACGTGATTGGCTGATCATATTCAATTAAATTTATACAGTTTAAAGTACTTTTTTAATTTATGATATTATTATTAGTGTATCACAAAAAAAATTTCATTTTCAGTTTTAAAAAACTGTCAAGATTCACTGTGTAAAATAATTAAAAAATAATCAGAATCCTTGAAGTATTTATTTAGAAGGCAATGTCACTATCAAATGCTATTACCAGATCTTATGTAATTACTATATGCCAAAAAAAATTGACTTAATGGAGAAGAGTAACTGAAAATGTTCTGATTAAAGGTCAAGTCAGTGAAACTTTACTGGGTTATATTTAAGAAGGTGATACAATTTGTTTAAATTGTTATAATGGAATTATTACAAATAACTCTCTTAAATTTCAGCAACATGCTAAAGAATATGTTGAAACTAATGTGAAACAGCGTAAGCTTGAAACTGAATCTAACTCTATTTTATCTTTTTCTAAAGCAATAGAAATTATAACAAATATCCTACATACTCGTGAAAATAAAGAAAATAAATTAACTTTATATTCATTTGACGAATTTTGAACAGTTATAGAAGCAAAGGATGCAAGGTTAAAACTATTTTTCGATGAATTGTATCTTTCATCTAATCCATTTTCAAAAAATAAGGATTCACAGACACGAGCAAAGAAACAGCTTCTATTTATATGCTATTTTCTTTGTGGAATTTGAAATAAGTTTGTTAATAATGCAAAGAAGGATTTGACAATATATTTGGATTCTACTGGTATTTCTAACAATTCTATTGATATTTTTGTAAATTTAGGTATAACTACAACATCTCGTACAGTTATACAATGCAAAACTGCTGCATCTGAAGAATATGCTGAAACTGTCAATTCTGCACTTGCTGATCATATAGATAGAGCGATAATATTAAACATTAATGATTACCATAGTATTCATACAAAACGAATGTCAAATATAACTACTATATCTACCACGGCACATTTAACAACAATTCTAATGAATCCAATTATTACTCAAAATGCAATTTTAAAATCAAATATACATAATCCCATACTGGTTGATGCTAAATTGATCAAAATGAATTTAGAAAATAAATTCATGATACTTTATGGATTATCACATAATCAACGTTGAGGATTTTGCGAAGTTGATGATGATACAAAATTAGAGGAGTTAACAGTGCATAGTTATGATATTAGATTAAAAGAAAAACATATTATTTGTTCTATAAAGAATGTTATTTTTGTAGATTTACAGGAAAATAATCTACATTCTTTAAATGCATATATTAAGGCAATTGATGCTGTTACAAATATTCCATCTATGAAACAATACATTCAAAAAGGACAGGTTATTCTTATTGTTGCTGATTGGCCAGGCCAAATTTATCTTAGAATTGCTATTTTTCGTTATCTACTTTATAATAATTCTTCAAATATTACTAATTCAATTTTATCTTTTATTCCTATTATAGGTCCTTTACATATTTCATTAAATAGCCGAAAATTAGTATTCCTTCGATACTAGCCCTTTTTTTTAGCTATGTATAAGAATATATTTGAAGAATGAAGGCCTCTTACACAAAAACCTAAACCATGACGTATTAATCTACTTTTAGAGATTTCTCGTAGTGTTTGGCAAGAAATTTCTAAAGTAGTTAAAGAAAAATTTGGATTCTTATGCAAAGATGCCAAATACCTCACGTTAAAGGATCTTCTTGATAATATAATTTCTTTAGTCCTAGATGTTTATGCTATCTTTTTTCAGTCTGGCGATTTTAATACTTATTTGGAATCTTGTTTTTGGGTTTGGACAATATTTCTTAGATTTTAATACAAAAACTATAATAAAGTACCATTAATGTTTGTCTGATATTTTTTATTGGAAGTCAAATAATCATCTAATCCTAGAGATCATTAAGGCTAAACTTCCAAAATTTTCAGATGTAACTGTTGAGATTTTTCATAGTTTCTTGCGTAAAGATACACAGAAACATATAGAAGCGCAACAGATTATCAAATATAGGCATTACATTAACCAATTATGCCTAGATGATAATAGTTTCAAAGAGAACTTTACACACACATTAACATGGGCAGTATATGAATATTCTGCACGAAATATTACAATTTTAACAAAAAAGAGTGCATGCTTTTTGTTACAATGTTTTTCAAATATTTATATACTATAGATGCCTGCCAAAACCTCCTCAAAATAATTTCGTCATATCCTTTTCTATGTTTTTAATATAGTTTCGACAGTTTCAGCTTTTGTCGTATTGAAAGGGTTTCATAGTATCCCTTATTATGATTTTAATATAGTTTCGTCTAAGTTTTGACTGTTATTAAGGGGTTTCATCTCTCATCATTATTATATATGCTTTTTTAATGATAAAATATCTTTAATATTTCTATTACAGACTGTTGCTACGAATTTATCTTCAAAAAAGAAAAAGAAATCTAATAATGATATTGTAATTCTAGTTGCAATGAAAATGCTGAAAGCAAAATTATGTCATCTTCCTTTAAGTTTCAGTACTTTGTATAAGTCAAATCCATTTTATTATTGTGATACTACTAATTGTTCTATTTCTTCATTTATTCATACAGGTCTGATTGTAGTTTTATCTTGCGGCCATACATATCATAAAGTTTGTTATAATAATAATGAATTCAAGTGTTTATATTACCTCTCATTTTTACAAGATGGCGTTGATGAAAATGTCCAGTCTCTGCTAACACGATTGCAACAATTTGATAAAATAAAAGTTGAAAAGGATGATGATAATATTCTTTGTGATAATGATGATAAAAATGAACCCGTAGGATGTATGATATTTACATTGGAAGAAGCATTGCAAAAATTTCAATCACAATAATATTTATAAATAATAAATAAGAATTTTGATTTTAGTTAATCAGTAATCTGGCTTTATTTAACTCAATTATTTTCTGATTTTACATTAGTCTAATTAGTCTAAAAAATTAAAATTATACAAAATTGTTAATTATAAATATTATAAA